GCAGCCAGTTTATCTTTATGAAATATTGTGTCTGAAAGTACTGTTCAGGGACATTTTTGTCCCTGTTGGATGTTTAATCCTGGCTAAGGTCTGCACTGAGTGCAGAAAGCCTGCATGTTGTCTCCAGTATCTGCCTTTCAACAAAGCATAAAAGGTGACCTACAGTGATGCAATTTTAGTACTGCACAATATACAGTGCAGTGCTCCAAAAATGAACATAGAAGCAATACACAGCATGCCTGTTGGGGGATTAATAAAAAGGAAACAAAGTCCTTTTTTTAAAACCGAAATACTTGCCCCAGCTATAAGAATAAGGTGTTCTTTCTTTTTTCCTTATTTTTCTTAATGAACCTTCGCTTGTGTGTTCTGGCAGTCTGCTGAAGAGTACCATACCACAGTTTGACATCAGAGGGAGTTATTTATCATACCGCCCCCTTTTCTTATTGGTCACAAGCCCAGGAATATATTTTCTGATGATGGGCCTGTAGGCCTGGCTGATAGGTATGTGCTGCAGATTTCACTGCACCATAGTCCATTAAATGACAGGACAATTCTGAGGTAGGTTGTTTTAATAATTCTCAATTCTATGTAATGTTTTTTCCCTGATTGGGAAAATAGGAAGTATTCTCTAATGCAGACAGATGTAATACAAATTATTTGCATCAATCATTGCTATCGGATTTTATATGCAGTACTGTGTGACAGACTTTTTAGTTCATTGATACTTACCCAGTAGTGAGAAATGGAGCGCGATCCAGTTTAGGGACACTGTTCAGGTATTGAAGAGGTAGATGCTGAATAAAGCTCCTGCTCTCTGCCACAGCAAAATGACTTAGCCAAACATCATAAAAACACCTGTTATTTGCCACAGTGTGACATTTTCGCATTTATAACACTAGCCAGAGGGCTGCCTGATCGGTAACAGTGTTATGCAGTGGGTTATTCACCAACCTAATTTCTCAGGATCCTCACAACAACAACAACAAAATTACATTTACAGAGCGCCTTTCACGTCGGGAGGACGTCCCAAAGCGCTGAACAGTCAGATGTCGGGACCTGAGCATGGGGGAGCGGTGGTGTAGGGGAGAGGGAAGGCAGATAGGTGGGAGGGAGACCAAAGGCACGGTTGAAGAGAAGGGTCTTGAAATCAGTCTTGAAGGATGCGAGGGGAGGAAGCGAGGCGAAGGGACCATGGGATGGAGTTCCAGAGTGTGGGGGAAGAGCGGCTGAAGAGAGGCTCCTGGCTAACAGACAGAGAGGAGATTTTTATGTTTTGAGCTAAGGTGTAAACAAGGGTTCCACAGGGTAACGGTCCACGTGCAACACGTCTCTTCCATGAACGAAAAACATACTGGCAAGATGGCCAAGACTTTTTAATGGTGTCCCTTACACATAATCCTCTCACCAACAACAAGATTACATTTATGTAGCGCCTTTCACATCAGGAGGACGCCCAAGGCGCTGCACAGTGTACAGCATTTCAGACCTGAGCTGGGGTCGGGAGGGGAAGGGTGACCAATGGCATGGTCGAAGAGGAGGGGTTTGAGGCGGGACTTGAAGGAGGCTAAGGAGGGGGCGAGGTGGAGTGATTGGGGGATGGAATTCCAGAGGTTGGGGGCAGAGTGGCTGAAGGCTCTCCCGCCAATGGTGGGGTGGGTGGGTCGGGGGACATGGAGCCGGCCAGAGCCGGCTGAGCAGAAGGAGTGGGCGGGTTGGTAGGGGGTTAGGGGGTCACAGAGATAGGGTGGGGCGAGACCATTGAGGACTTTGTATGTGAGGATCAGGAGTTTCAACGGGATCCTCTGAAGGATAGGGAGCCAATGGAGTCGGGCGAGAATGGGGGAGATGGGGTCACAGAGTTTGGTGCGGGAGAGGACACGGGCTGCAGAGTTCTGGATTATCTGCAGCCTGTGGAGGGAGGAGTTGGGAAGGCCGACAAGCAGGGCGTTTGCCTAATCGAGCCTTGAGGTGATGAAAGCATGAACAAGGTAGTGGCGGAGTCAAGCGATGTTACGGAGGTGAGGGAAGGCAGAGCGGGTCATGGCTTGGATGTGGGAAAGAAAAGACAGTTGAGGGTTGAACAAGACACCTAGGTTCCTGACTGACTTGGTGAGTTGCAGTGGGCAACCATGGAGGTTGATGTTGACAGAGCCTGAGGTGCTGAGGCACTGGCGCGAGTCAATCAGGAGGACCTCAGTCTTGTTCACATTCAACTGTAGGAAATTTGCCCTCATCCAGGACTTGATGTCCGACAGGCAGTCTGTCAGGACAGCAGTGGTCCTGGAGTTGAGGGTGGAGGCAGAAAGATAGAATTGGGTGTCATCCGCATACATGTGGAAGTTGACCCCATGTCTGTGAATGATGTCACCAAGGGGGAGCACATAGATATTAAAGAGGAGGGCCAAGGACAGAGCCCTGGGGAACGCCAGACGTGACAGTGCGGGGGCTGGAGGAGAAACCGTTAGAGGCAACGAAGTGGAGACGGTGAGAGAGATAGGAATCGAACCAGGCAAGGTCAGGTCTGCGAAGTTTAAGAAAGGAGGAGAGGCGGTGTATGAGGATGGAGTGGTCGACAGTGTCGAAGGCGGCAGAGAGGTCGAGGAGGACAAGGAGGCAGAGGAAGCCCTGAACACAGATGCTCAGAATGTCATTAGTGACTTTGACCAGGGCTGTTTCTGTGCTGTGGGCAGCGCGGAAGCCAGATTTGAGGGGTTCAAAGAGGGAATGGTGAGAGAGAAAGGAGCGGAGCTGCGACGCGACGACTTGTTCCAGGATCTTGGAGAGGAATGGGAGGTTAGAGATGGGGCGGTAGCTGAAGAGTAGGATGGGTCCAGGGAAGGTTGTTTCAGGATGGGGGTGATGACAGCTCTTGAAGATAGACGACACCATGCTGAAGGTAGATATCTGACAGATAACTGATGAGGAAACTCCGAGGCTTGAGGCAACAAATGCTGGAAGGGACACATTCAGTGCCTGGAATGTACCTTGATTGTTTGCAGAGTTCCTTGTACCTACCATCCACCTAGTGAGGGCGCTAACCCGTGCTTGTCGGATGTCAAATGACCAGCTGGTGACTATCCTCATGGTGGGGTGTGGAGTGATAAACAGAGTCTCCTGAAGCTCAAGTAGCTCCAAGGTAACATATTTGTCAATGGAATGTCAGAATCCAATCCACTTTCTGTAGATTATCTCAGTAATCTAGTACCTGAGCCGGACAGATCTGCAGTATTCCAGGGCACTGTTGATGACAGCACAGCCAGCCTGGCTCATTGGCAGGACTTGGAAAGGCAGATCAGTCAGTATGGGGCAGGGACTCTTCCCAGTAAACTCTCATTGACCCTGTAAGCCAAAGCCTTAATGGGTAGTGTGGTCTTTGCAGTAGGAAAGCTTGCCAGACAGTGTTTCAATGGAAAACCCCAGTGCACATTCTGGGGTCCCCAAGCCTTGGCTCTTGCCATCCTACATTTAATACTGTACTTTTCTGAATTAGTTAAGCAGGATGAGTCTCTCCGGGGAAAGATTGCACTCTTTCATTCCAATAAACATCTCTGGAATTACCATGTGCAAGTGGGATGCATGGAACCCTGTTTGGTTTGGATATTCTTAAGCATGGTGATGGGTATCCAAAATAAATAAACACAGCCAGTCATGCAACTGGCTTTGTGACTTAATCCTGTGTGCGGGAGTCATTTTGAGTTAAGTTAATCCGTTACCAAGGAAACGCCAGTGCTGCTTATTTCGTTATGGCTCCTGTGGTGTATTTCTGTTGAAGTTCTGAAAGTATATTCTGCCAGCAAAGCATTTTGTTCAGTAAATAGTCAAAACCCGCAATGAAAGGTTTCATGTCTCTGTTTTTAAAAAAAATTAATTTAAACTGCATACTGCACTAGGTGATGATAAAAGTATGATATGGTAATTTGGTTTCGCCTACAATCACTGCTGAATGTTTAAGACTATTCAAATAACCTTGAAGTAGAAATATTTGATAGCTGCTGTAATTTTCACTGAACTCTGCACTCGGGACATAAATTTGCAATTTCCCCAGATTCCTGATTCTGTTGAAGATAAGAAAATAGGATAGACTCCTTCAAAATGTAGTCACATCATGTAACTTGGTGTGACTGAGAAAAGACAAGGTGAATAGACCCATAATGTACTCTTGAACTCAAATGGGGTTACCCTCATATGTGGTTGTAACATAGATTGGCTGAAGTTAGCATGACAATTTAGCATGACTGTGGTCATGGATCATTTTCTAATGTTGTTGGATTGTTTTCTGGTGTTTTGGTGCAAGCTGCAGTGGTAAAAATTTAATATCCCAGTCTCATTGTAAATCATTGCTTTCATATGAATGCCAGTTTTTAAGTTATTTTGATTTTTTTTCCCACTTATAGTTGTAGTATTACTGTCCAGCATGCTTTACTGCAGCTCTGTTGCAAACTTAATATAAACAGTTGATATTAACATAAAAATCCTAAATTTAGTGAAGAAAAAAGTAGGTTTTTTTTTACTGTTTGCAAGTCCAAACTAAATTGTATTGCTCCTTTAAGTTTATACTCCTCAGAATTTTTCATAATAATAGCAATAATCCTTGCATTTCATACAGCGCCTCATTACATTGTCAATGTCTTGAAGGTTTTCACAGTACTCTACTGTAAAGTGTAGTATTTTAATGCAAATACAGCAGCTAATTTGCACACAACAGTTTCCCCAAAACAGTCATGAATGAATGATCAATTTTATCTGAAGGATTGGTGACCAATACCAATCCCCCAGATAAAATTAGTTAAATAGTGCCATGGGATCTTTAAAGTCCAGGTGAACAGGCTGACTGGTCCTTGTTTAACATTTCATTTGAAGGATGAAATATTCTGTGTCAATTCAGTGCTGGTACTGAGTGTCAGCCTAGACTCAGTCTGAAAGACCCATCGTGGGGCTACAAAGATTAATTGTTGGATATGTTATCAACTAATACTTTATTAAATTTCTTATGTTTCCAGGCATTTAGACAATCACCAGCTCTGGGAACCAAATGAATTTGCTGTTTCTTGCTTTAAAATCACAATGTATTCTATACAGGTAGGTGTATGCAACACGCATTTACCTTGGAAGGAATGTAATGAGATTGTATTTTTTTTTCTCCCTCTATCATGTGTCTTAAAATGATCTTTTTAGTGTTTCAGCACAACTACTGGATGCCCTTTTATTTTGCGGCAGCAGAGCATCTAAATAGAGCCAGTCTTATGACAATATAATTTTGAAAAATGATTCAATTGTTGGATAATATATTGGGGATTGTTCACAATTATTTCCGAGTTTATCTGTCTATGATGTGTTTTGCTGTCGTCATAAAGTTAGTGCCATTTTATTTTCAGTGAAGGGGAGACAGAGAAATTACCTGCTGTACATATGGTTATATTTATATTATAGATAAAATACACAGAGCATAAAGCTGTAATAGTTGTGCTGTGCAACATGGAAATGATATTTTGTTTTCTTCCATATTCAGGCTCAGCACTCTCACCATGTGATTCAGCAGATTCTTCGACATTTGGATAATCACAACAAGGACTCGCCTAGGGTCCGAGCCGGCATTGTACAGGTTCTTTTAGAGACTGTAGCAATAGCAGCAAAAGGCTCCGTAGGTACGAAGAACTGAAAGGGGTGAAAAATAGTGGTGGGATATCCAACAACCAATTCATTTAGCACTGAGGTTTTACTTCTCTATATTTGTTGACTTCCTTTTTTTTGGTGTATGTATGGGGCGCGGGGGGGGTGGGGCCTGCTCTTTTTTGGGAAATTGTTTGAATGTGTTGTTAGAGCCAACACTTGACCTCCCAAGTTTCTGCTTTAATTACATGATAGAAGCAATATTTGTTTTAAGCAATGGAAGGCAATAACAACAACAAAATTACATTCGTAAAGCTCCTTTCACGTCAGGAGGACATCCCAAAGCGCAGGACAGACAGATTTACGGACCCGAGCTGAGGGAAGCAGGAAGATTGAAAGCACGGTCGAAGAGGAGAGTCTTGAAGGTGGTGAGGGAAGGGGCGAGACGGAGGTACTGCGGGATGAAGTTCCAGAGGGTGGGTGCAGAGTGGCAGATGGCCCGCCCGCAAGCAAGCAAGCAAGCAAGGCGGGGGAAGTGAAGCAGGCCAGAGCCCGCTGAGCAGAGGGAGTGAACAGGATGGTAGGGGGTTAGAAGGTTGGAGTGGTAGGGCTTTGAATGTGCGGACCAGGATCTTGAACTGTATCCTCTGTGTGATGGGAAGCCAGTGGAGTTGGGCAAAAATGGGGGTGAATGGGTCGCGGATGCAGCCTGTGGAGGGAGGAGTTGGGGAGGCCAACAAGCAGTGAGTTTGCATAGTCGATGTAATACCAGTACCCTCTTGTGTGCACATTTAGTAATTGTGATGCCTTTATTTCATTAATTTGATTGGCATCAACCATCGTAAAGCATTCTCTTTAGCATCTGGTACAGGGCTAGCTACAGCATGTCTCTGTGTGCCAGTGTTTACATGCTTGGCCCTTCCTTGTCCACATGTCTATTCAGTCTGGGCTGAACCTCTCTTCCCATTTTATGACGAGACTTAACTTCCTATAAATACAAAAATTACTGTTAGAATTAATTCATGGCCCAACATTAATGGGGAATATATTATCATTATTGAATTCCAGGTTTGACATCTGGAAACTTTATGCCCCAGCTATGTGGCTACTTTAGTGGCAAATAAAGAGATGGAGCATTTCCACGTGGCCTCTATTTATTGCCTATCATTCTCAATTTATATATGTATCTGTACTTGACAGCCGTTCCTATGCAGGTGCCAAGATTCAGCTTTGCTCCCTGTTGTGTTGAGTGAAAGAATATGATTAGCTTGCCCCACCCTACCTTTGCAATCTCCTCCCACCCCTACTACTCTCTGGAACTTGAGTTCCTAAATGTGTTACATCCTTAAACGGCTCAGCTATATTTAGTCTCTTCCCTTTTCTGTAATTATGAATACATATAATATTCCATATAATTGCTGCTAGTGTTTACTGTTATCCAAAAAAATATAGTTTACAATTAACAAACCAGTGAAGCTACAAACACTTACAATTGCTGTTTTATGATTTCAGATTTTTGATTATTGAATAATTGGCATTTTGATATAACTGTAGAGCTTTTATATTTTTTCTCTCCTCCTCCCCACCCATAGCAAATTTCACAAACCTTCCTCTTAATGTTCAGACTGCAATACTCATTTTTAAAAGTGTGTTTTTAATGCAGGGCCAACTGTTTTGGAAGTTTTCAACACATTGTTGAAACATTTGCGCCTCAGCGTGGATTTTGAGTTGTCGAACAAACGTAGCTCTACAGGGACTTTGACAAACCACGATGAGAAGGTTGTACAGGATACTATTATCAAAACTATTGGTGAGTAACTCTTAATGATATTTCATAGTGCACATTAATAGCTTTTGATAGCCTTTAATTACATTCATATTGCTGTGAAGTTCAAGTACTATTGATCCTAGATTTAATGATATGAAATCTAAGTTCTTCTAGTCCAAATGGTTATTTTGTTCTGTGTTGGCCATTTTATGACTAAATATTTAATTTATTCTGCTAAATGATGGTTTGATTCGATTAATTAGGGCTTCTGATTATTGTTTTTAACCAATAAATATCGATAAAACACCACCGAAACAAAAAAAATTTAATTGATGTTCATCCAATAAACACCAGAAAAGGTTACTCAACTCCGAGTTGAGGTTGTCATTTGCTTGCTTGCTCTTGGCAGCGCCTTGGTGTGCCAACTGCACATGCATTACTCTTACTTACGAGTCTGGTAAAGCGTTTGCATGTGAAAGATTACTGAGGCACTGCGCATAACTGAGGCAGGCTCTCTCCCCTCTATGAGCACATGCGTTACAGTAACGAAAGCCCTGAAAAGCCCAATTTATAAACCCTCAAATTCCTAAAACAAGTAAACCCAGAAAAATGAAATGAATAAACACTGAAAAACAGAAGCCCTACATTAGTATAATTATTTGTAGAAAATAGCTGGGCAAGAGAAACTTACTTACTTATTGTGAGATTATGAACAATGCTATGGTGCTGAACATCACTATCTCATTACGTTTCATTTGTGCCCAAAATTGTGGTATTGTTAGAGTTGCCCCATGTTTCCTCTGTTAAAGAAAAATGCTAGATATATGTGTAGTAGTATGTTGGTATTTCTATGAAAATCGTATAAAAGGTGTTGCTCCAGACATATTTAAAAAAAATTGGAGCTTTAAGTAAACCATTGGGGTTGTGGATTGCATCTAATTGTGGATTCTGTCCAACTGGGGAGCAAACACTAGGCAAAAACAGAGCTCACTTTACTTGCGCTGTGGGCAAAACCTCCTGAGTTGACATTGTGCCTTTCAAGGTCATTTGTAAGGCAGCTGTCTAAAGCAGCCTGCGTGCTCTTATTGAGCCTCATAGTCACAGTTCAGGATAGACAACATTCGCTCCAGTATTTTTCAAGCTTCCCTTGAGGTGTAGATTCTTAGATGTGACCACCAGATACCTTTTTGTGTGTGTGTGAGTGTGTAACAGATCTGAATAGAAGTGAGAATTGGATCTTTCAATGAAAACTTCTGCTTCAGTTTGTGTTTGTTAAATAACAAAACACAGGTTGAGGAGAAGAGCGGACTATGTGACGGTGAAGTTCCCATTCAAAATAAAATAGTACCATTTATAGTCAATGTGTTAACACTTTCTAATATTTTCCTTTCATTAGGAAACATGACATTTAACGTAACTAATGTACCTGCTATTCAAATGTTGAGTGTACTGTAAAATACAATGGGTGTAGGGATGCTGTATAAGTGTTCTGGATTGGTGAGTGCATTCACCTTGCAAGCAAGAGAACCCGGGTTCATTTCCTAGGGGGGCAAACCTTAGACAAGTTCCCTTATTCCACACTCTTCGGTTTACTAGCGCAGTAAATAGGACCCCGGTTGTTAGTCGTTTGGCGGATCGCTTACCGAGAGTAATAGTCCCTCCAAAAAAAATCAAACCATGACTTTGTGGGACATTGCTATGCGCAATTGGCTTCCATGTTTCACCCACAAATCCATTTTACAACATATTCTGTGAAACACTTTAAGATGTCTTAATGACGTGATAAGGCACTGTAACAAATGCAAGGATTATTATCATTATAAATAATGCCATTTGTTACCATACTCAGTATGCCCTCAGCGATTCAGAAAGTGTGTCTCCAGAATTTACAATTTTCAGACTGCTGGGGAAATAGTAAAATCATTTAAAACCAAAAGTAGTAAATCTACAGTTATGTCCTTGTAAGTAAACGGGCTGATTCATTTCTTTTTCCACTTTTTGAAAATGTTCCGTAAGTTAGCTAGGGAGGGAACATCTGCCAATATTGGTCTAAAAGTGTATGTGTGTATTTGTGCTGATTGAGTAAAGAGGGAAGATTCGCGAGCAGGACAGAGGTTAATGTTGCGAAAGTAACAGTTGGTTATAAGACGGGAGAAATGCATCTCATTTCCCTGCTGCTTCAGGGAGGCTTCTGTTGCTTTGTAAATAACTAGACTTTGCACATCTGAAGCTGAGACTTCAGTCGTCCATGGTGAGAAGTAGCTTTGTACTTGATGTGTCATCCACGCAATGCTGATGTCAAAAAAATATTACTCAGGCAATCTTCCGGCTCCACTTGAAAATGAGTCATTCTTTGGATGATCTCATTAGTTTGGATCGGACTTCTTGTTCTGTAGGTCATCTGTTTTGTTTCAATCCTTTTTTGTTCTTGAAACTGCCAAGAGTAGAATACCATTTCTACTCACTTAAATTACTACTAGTGATCCTGTGAATTCTAAACCGCAAGCACCAAAATTACATAAAGGATTTTAAACCAGATGTATTGGCAAGAAGTAAATACTGATCTTGCTGTGTACAACAGGGTGGGCTATAAAAATATTTCAGTTGGTTCCTTTGTGCTGCCAAGTACAGCACGACCCGATTAAGTTATCTCATTTAATATAATTAATGAAAACCTAATTTACGATCACTGGATGCCTTAGAGATACATAAATCTCTCTTATGCCTAGTGCATACTTTGTCTTCACAGCATACAATTATTTCTACATTATTTAAGTCAAAATGAGAGAAAACCTGCAGTTAGTGGTGGCGGCAGTTGATAAAAGGTTTTGAGACATTCAAGAAAAATTACTTTAAGCTTGATTGATTGAGAGGAAATCGTACTGTGGATTATAATACTGTAAAAGTTATTAACATGACAAAGATGAGTAGATGAGGTATTTAAATCTTTCCAAAAATGGGCTCGCTCATTTGGTAAAGTGCTTGACTTTTGTCAGGCTTCTATCCCTTTGAGAACAGTAAAGTGAATACTGGGGACAAATTCGGAATGCAACTCTCGACTAAAAAAACCATTGAAATGGAGATGAGCAAGCACTGCTCCCCCAAAGATCAAGACCTTCTGGGAATCTTACTATCTTTCCTGTTTTACATGCCCATACCGTGTTTTAAATTAAAAAAAGCCGCCCAAAATTGGGATTTATAGCAACTTTCCCATCAGTCTTATAGTGAATTGCAGATATTCAGCAAATTGCTTTTGCAATTACTGTTAAAAGTAACAACGCCAAGATTACATTTGTATAGCGCCTTTCACGTCGGGAGGACTTCCAAAGTAAGTGCAAGTTTTAAGAAGAAAAATCATTTATGTGGTACCAGAAAAATTGCTTTTCTTGGAAGTGATCTTTTAGTTTACTAATGTCTCCCAGAGCTAGATAGATTGTTTCTATAAATGACTGGAGCGCAACACAATAACCTTTTAAAAAATCCAGCAACATCTGTAGTAGCTGTAATATTTGGATGGCTTTCTGCAATGGAACCATTGAACAATAATAGAAAGAAAGCATTTTTCAGCCTAGAAGGTTATTTGTTCCACTACATTTATGCTATTTCTGTTGGTAGATTCATAAAAGCTACAGCTCAGAAAAGGCCCTTCCAGTCAGGTTGGTGTTTATACTCCACACAAGTGCCCATCCTATATCCTATCCCTAGTCCCATAACCATTTTTTCCCCATATACCTTAACTTCATTCTCTCCTAACCACATGTCCAGTTTTTTTTTGGACGTGCACATGGTTGCTGAGTCACCCCAAGTCCCACTCTCTGTGATTTTTTTTCCTAATCTCTGTTCTGGACCTTTCCTGATTTTGAAACATCTTTCCTATAATGAGGAACCCCAGATTGGCCATAATATTCCAACTGTTGCCTGAGCATCGTTTTGTACAGATTGTATTTCTAAATTATCCCACTTACCTTTTATTTTATTTTTTATACAGGAGAATATACTCCTGTTCATATTAACAGGAAAAGATTTTTACGTGGGCTATTTGTTCATCATTAATTCTAAAGAAGTCATGTTACATTTGTTAAATGTAAAAAAAAAAGAATGTGAACAATGCAAATAATTGTGCATTTGCAATTTCTGGATATTAATAATCTGATAAACTGATGAACATTTTGAATAGAAGCATTTGTAAAGCAGGTAAAGATACTTGGGGAAGAAGGATTTTAAATATAATCAGGCAGTTTACTTGAAGTATCTAGCAATAGTGAATAAATTGATGGATTTTCTCTGAATGGCTTTTATTGTTCCTCACTTTGTCCTACAAAAATTATCTCTTTCCTACAATAATTTTGTAAATTCCACAGTCAACAATTGCAACAACGTTGGATTTTGACAAATTGTATTGTCAATGCTTTCACAGCCAAGTAAAGGTTTCTTTCATATGTGACCTTAAATGTACAAATAATATGGAATGATTAGTATTGTGTTTGGGATATGTCATACCATTACATAAGTATTAAACATGAAAAAATTTATTTGTTTACTTGTTTACTTAATTCTGTATAGTAGGGTCTTTTGATGTATTGGAATTCTCCCTGAGAATAGGTATGCTGACTTAGAGTCTACAATGTAGTGCCTTTAGTCTGTTATAAATATCCTTTTAATATAAATGTATATTTCTCCTGATTAAAAAAAAGCTTAACTGATAACACAAACAGTCACTCCACAGTATATTCTGTGAAGCTCTTTGATACCTCTTCCTGACATGAAAGACACTACCAAATGTAAAGATTAGCATAATTATTATGATTACTATTAGATATTCATCACTTTATTTGTTTATCATTTCCCTGTTCTTTATGCATCTTTACTTTCCTTGCCGCTTTTCTTTGCTTCTCGATTTTTCACACATACCTTTTTTATAGATATATATATATATAAATGTGCATTGTCTTTCAGCCCCATCAGTAGAAGTAACATAATCAGAAACATTTAAATGCTTTGAGATTAAAATGTAATTTACTTGCTGTACCAGTCTAAGAAAATTCTATTTTTTCCAGATTCTAAGTGACTTTGATTCTGCTTAGTTCTGTTATTGTATGAAGGTGCTCAACCTCTAACCATAATTGTGTTACTGAAAAACAAACTGAACTTTGTGTTTTTGTTTTAGGATTCTTTGGGAGCAATCTTCCAGATTACCAAAGATCGGAAATTATAATGTTTATTATGGGGAAAGTTCCTGTTTACGATGGCACCTCACATACACTGGATACCAGCCAATCTGGGTAAATTGTCACTTCTTTTGTGTCAGAAAAGAAACCGGTTTACACGCCATAACTAATAATAATAATAATAATCCTTGCATTTGATATAGCGCTTTTCACGTCTTCTCGACGTCTCAAAGCGCTTCATAGAATAGACTAAAGTGAATTGACTGTATATTTGTGGGCGAAACGCGGCAGCCAATTGCGCACAGCAGTATCCAACAAACAGTCGTGGATTGAAAATGACCAATTTATTACTGTTTTGTTTTGGAGGGATTATTATTAGGTGTGTGGAGTAAGGAAACTTGCCCAAGGTTTCGCCCTGCCTGGAATTGAACACAGGTGTCTCGCTTGCAAGGCGAGTGCTCTAACCACTGAGCTACAGGACTCCACTTATATAATATAATCCATTATATTAAATAATCCACTTATAATGTCTAACCTGCATCTTTCATTAATACCCAGTGAAAGATTATTCCAGATGTATTTCAGTCTTGAACTTTAACGACCAGGTTTTATTCAATTGATTTTTGATGTGATCAAACATCTTGATGCAGCAAAAATATTGACTTTGCATGGAAATATATTGTGATGCCCTCTCGGCTCAGGCACATTTCCCAGACTGAGTGTCTTCGTCTAAAATTCTGTTTATAGAATTCAGGATTACAAAAACAGATGTATTGACTGCCCCTGCATAGTTAGGTTCATAGTTTGAGCAATTGTGCCAAATGACCTTCTTGCTAAGAAAAATAAATAAGTTGAAATTTATTTCACTGTGGTTTTGTTACAAAAATGTCTTTTTGCAATTATATAGTATTCAAAGGAATGTAAAATACACAACTATATGTACTGTTGAGAATTTTGTAATGTAATACTTGAATAGATTAAATCAGCACTGTAATTGTTGTCAATTCTGCAGAGCTGTGAAGCTTACGTACATTTAGCTTAATTGGATTTTTCGACTGGCTTCACTTTTTCTATGAGTGACAGTTTTAATTTAAAGGCCAAAATCAGTCTTCAGTGTTTTAAATGTCAGTAAGTTCTGAAACTACAAAGCCCTTTTTACACTTTATAGGCTAGAATTTAAGTGTCCGCAAAGCACATTTCCAAATTAAATTTCCTCAGTCTTGACATTTATTTTTTGCGCTCACTTGTGTGCAATGACAAGCAGCTACTGAAATAATTTACATGTTTTTTCTCTTAAGGTATCTGTTTTTTCATTTCCCACTCTTTAATAAGTGAATGTAGTCATTGATGGCCCTTTTCTTTTTTTAAAAAAAACTGCAACAAAGAAATGTTATTAACAGCAGCTCTGATTGGTACTGAATGTTTAATGTGCTGGAGCAGTGGGGTAGGCATCTAGGACTGGGAAGAAATCCAATCTGAGCTCAGTATAATAGGAACTGGCTGAAGTTGGATCTGCCACATCCGTTGTCTGAGCAATTAATTTCACCTGAGAAATTCAACACATCGGTTCTTTTCCAGATGGTAGGTTCAATATGTCCAGTCTCTAGCAGGCTAGTTTCTCACTTAAAATATAGTTATTTAGGTAAACAGGGTGTGTCCCACCCTGGCCCCACTCTCTGAAATCCCATTCCCGGAAACCCACCAATTCACCCCCTCACCTCATTCAAGGTCCATCTCAAGAACTTCCTCTTTGTCCGCACTATTATTCATCTCCCCCCACCATCCCCCTCAGTTCCCATCCTCAGCTTGGGTGTCATGACAGGACTGTCAAGCACATAGGGATGTCCTCGCAATGTGGAAGCACTGTATAAATGTAATTTTGCATTGTCTCTCTAGTGAGAGTATACATTCCATTCCAGACATGGACATTTCCACATATGTTGGCATATATATGTCCAACACTCTCTGTTTTTGAAATTGATAAGCATGGTACTGGGTTTCTACATATGTCAGATATTTATCCTATCCTTTTCTGGGATGACACCAGGGCTTTACTGGGATGATGCCAGTGCTGGCAGATTACTGCTATCAGGATAGACTGGTTAGGCCTTTTTACGATAGAGATGTTTTAGAGGGAACCTAGTGGAGGTGTTTCAAATTATAAAAGGGTTTGATACGCTTAGCATGAATAGGCTGATCCATGTAACCAGGAGATATATTTATAAGCTAGTGACTGGGGGATCTAAAAGAGACGTTAGGAGGAACAACTTCACGCAGAGAGAAATTAGATTGTGGAACTCGCTGTCTAAAGCGGTGGTTAATGAAACAGTGTAGATTCATTCAAGAGGGAGCTAGACCTCCACATGAGGAAGAAGGGAATTGAAGGTTTTGGGAGAGAGTAAGGAATGGGTAGAAACTATGGAGTATAAACACTGGCACGGACTGGTTGAGTCAAGTGACCTGTTTCCGTGTTGTACATTCTTTGTAGATATCCAGTTGACACAGCAGGAAAAGCTAAGGCACCAGAGATGATTCTTGGGGGATGCCCTACCTGCCAATCCATCACCTTCATTCTAAATCTGTATCTACTTTTCCAGCCAATTCAATACACAAGCCTCCTTTGGCTTCAGTTTAGCTAGTAATCTGTGATGTAATATTTATCAAATGCTTTCTGAAAATCAATATGAATTACATTCATTGATGCTCTATCTATCATGTCAGTGACTCTGTCAAAAAAACTTTTAGGTGACTGATCTTTCACAAAGCCATGCTTCATCATACTCTCCTGTCTAAATGGTAGAATTTAACACCAAATGTGTTTATCCAGGTGCTCAGTTCCTCATTGCCTCAATGATGGAGTCTAGTAATTTGTCCACATTTGGTGTTAAATGCTACCATTTAGACAGGAGAGTACAATTGTTACGAAAAACTGTGCTGAAAGAATACCTATAAAGGTGCATGGACATATTTAAACCAGCTTTGAGGGTAACACAGATGCACAAATCTGAGATTTGTTATCAGTATGAAAAAAAATTATACAAACTCATGAGAAATATTGTTTTGCTTGCTCCAGTCTGCAAATTGCTGTAACAAAGTCACTGCATGTTACCGAACCAATTAGATTTCCTCCTGAAATCAACCATATCAGAGATCTGCTTCCATCTTAAAAGTGCAATGAGTGACAACCTCGCCAACTCACAAAATTGGACTGGCCAGCCAGCTATGAGCACATTTCACTGGATAGACTAGTAAAGATAAAGGTAGCGTATTAGCACTTTACCCACTAAGCAGCAAGCTTTAAGTCAGTCTTGTAGCAATAGTACAATCGCACAAGTGGCTCAGTCTGAAAAATGCACAGGTGATTTGTGTTACTTGGTGTGCACAAAAGTGGCATCTTAATTTCATTTGATTTCACCGCACCAAGAAGGTCATTTAAAAGAAGACCAGGAAGGAGGCTCGACCCAATGCACATCTCTACAGAGGATAAAACTTTTTGTGTTTATTGCAATGAGATTTTATGCATTTGCTGGTGTCTGTTAGGAAGTCCTGGAGATGAATGTTTTCTGTTTTTTTTTAAAAAAGTACATCGGTAAGGTGGCATGTTAATGTGCATCAGTCTCCTTTAAATAGCTGCAGATTATCGAAGCCCAGAATGTTCCCAGGAGGAGTTTGATTCTTTTAAAGGTCATTGTTTCCATGCAGAGATGACTATTGTGCTCCAAAATTTTACATAGATCTCCCTTAGTATTTCACTTCTCCTGTGTCTAATGAAAAATAACCCCTGTGCCGTTCAGACACTTAGTGCTTTTCACAGCAGGATTTGCGGTATGATGCGTCTTTTTATAAACTGGCTCAATTTGAAAACCATTTAGTTCATGTGATTTGCACTTAGAGGGATGGGGAGGGGGGTACAAATAGAAAGCTGCTTTTGAGCATGAGCATTGAAAACATTTCTGAGCCCAAATAATAAAATGTTTTATTCATGCAACACAAAGTAAAAAGTGTTACAGTTAGTCTAGGACAAAATGTTCAAGAATTTGAAAAAATATTGCTTTAAGATGTCATAAAAGTACTCAATGCACTTTTAAAAACTTAGCACATTTCAATAAATCTCCAGCCTTCCAGGGATTAGAAGTTTCTGTTCTTTAAAAGCAAAATTAGCAAAAAAAATTATACTTGAATAATCTCCGTGTTTAATTTTGGCCAGTATTACTGAAGTGCTTAAATGTATTTTTAGAAGCAGGATACATTTTTTTCTTCAAGTTTTTAAATACGGAAATATAATCTAGCCCCTCTGTTCCATAAACTCATATTTCCTGCATGTCTCTAGCCTCCTCCGCCAACCCATCTGCTGCCAAATTTCTAGCCAGCATGCCGTTCTCTGAAATTTCCCATTCCAAACCCTTCCTACAAAAAAATTACCTCTAGCTTCAATTACAGTTTGTCACGTTCTTCCTATAATGTTGTTCAACAATAAAGGCATTAAATAAAGACACTAAGTTGTTTTTGTTGGGACATGGCTGTCGTGTTTGCCTACTTAAAACAGTCAATGCCCTTCTAGCATTTTGATGTGATAAGGTGCTTTGCAAATGCAATTTCATTTTCTTTATATAATACAGCTGCAAATAAATACTGTATTTGAACGTTTTCAACTGACATTTTTTGTAGTTGGGCACTACTCTTAAAATAGTCCAAGCATGTGATCAACATTTTACCTTTACACATGACATTTTACAAATGGTAAAGCTATATTTATGTAGTATTTTAGAGTTAGAATTTAGAGGTAGAATTTGCTGAATGTCACATGATACTGTTCAAAAAGGGAATGGAGTTTCTCCAGTGTCCTGGCCAACAATACCCCAGATAAAATTGGTCGTTCACTTCATTGAGTTCTGCAACTTGGCTGCCACATTCACCTATAAAAATGAGTCATTCTATTTTATAATATATCCTGTGAAGTGTTTTGAAATATCTTCTCAATGTGAAAGATGCTACTGTATATCAAATGTAAGTATTATTATTATTATTTCTATTATATTTACAGGGAACAAGCAACTAGAAGGATCCAGGTCATGCTCCTAAGGTCACTGTTTATGGTAAGTATCAAGACAGAAACAAAAAAATCAAGAATTGTTAACAATTTTGTACACTTTACTTTTTTTTTCTTCCTGTAATTTGATAATCTGTAATCTAAGTGCAAAGTACTATATTTTGATACTATATTGGAACTGTAGTCCAGGATGGAGTACTTTATATTTAAAGAACTTGCTATAGAAATAGAATGATAGCACTCATAACAAAATACTGCAATGCTTGTTTCAGTATTGTACCTAGGTCCAATCTCCTCTTGAATAAAAACTGCTCTCTAAAAACTCTCTCCATTTAATAATAATCCTAGAATAATTGAATCCAAATGCATTAATGGTGTCTTAACTCTTTTTCTCTCTTCTTCTGGTGACCAAACTCGGGTCAAACATATAAAATGTACAACCTTACCTTGTTTTGTTAGCACTTGGACCAATTTCTATCCTGGAAAATGCTTTAATGGCCAAATTAGCAGCTTACCATACAGAAATATTAAAAAGGAAATAGAACACAGTTACCCTAATTTGACCATTTAACTGAAAACTACCAGGAACCAAAAGATGGTTCAAGATAGTAAATTCATATTGTCTTGTTCATTGTTTTTAAATTAGGTAACATCTGGATATAAAGCGAAAAGTATAGCAGCTGCCCTTCCAGCTCCGTTTTTAGAACCATTATTGTCAGTCTCTCTAATGGAAGACAGTGAACTGAGACAACTGGTGCTCCAGATTCTGCACAGCCTTATTGATCGTCATGACAACAAAGCAAAATTTAAAGGAATGAGGTAAACTAAAAACGTTGTATGTTATTTAATGTTTGTTTTGTACATAAGTGGGCGTCAGACTCAGCACATACTGTAATAATCTTGCTTATTTCTCCAGTGAACATTTTCTCTTATACGCATGATTATATTTATTCTTTCCATTGCTTTTATAAGGTTATTAGATGAGTTTTGGTTGTCATTTTAAGCAAACTCCAATTGCTGAGGCTTTGATCTGGATATCGGCATTCGGTTTAGCCACCTGATTTACAGAAACCTGGCTAAAAATGTTGATGTATGAAACTTGCACAAGTACCATTTGGCGTGGTTGCATCCTGCATCTGCTGAATTTTCTTAATACAAAATTACATTTGTACAGCACCTTTCACGTCGGGAGGACGCTCATTTTGCAATCAAAATTTATACTTCGCAACAATTAATGTTCTGGGATCATTGCATCTGTCCTGACATTTTGTGAGTTGATCGACAGTTAAAAAGCTCCAAGATAAAATGGAAATTTCCAAACGCCAACATTCTTTGTTTCAAACACCACATCTAGGTTCCTTCATTTACAACAACAACAACTTGGATTTATATAGCGCCCTCCACGCCGGACGGCGTCTCAGAGCGCTTTACAGTAACAGATCCCGGGACCGAGCCGGGGGGAGGGGGAGGAAGGTGACCAAAGGCGCGGCCGAAAAGGAGGGTCTTCAGCAGAGACCTGAAAATGGGAAGGGAGGGAGTGAGACGAAGGGAGTGAGGAAGGCAGTTCCAGAGCATCGGGGCATAGTTGAAGGCATGACCACCGAGGGTGGAGCGGAGGACTCGGTGGACGAGGAGGAGGCCAGACCCGGAGGAACGAAGGCAACGGGTACTGTTTTGAGGAGAGGTAGGGAGGTACAGAGGAGTGCAGGGACTTGAATACAAGGGTGAGGATCTTGAAATCGATCCTCTCTGGGACAGACAGCCAGTGCAGTCTGGCAAGGACTGGCGTAATCGGGGACGGAGTTTCGTGCGGATGAGAATGCGGGTGGCAGAGTTTTGAATGGTTTGGATTTTATGGATTTATTTATTTTATGAAAGGAATTATTTCTGGTGTTCGAGTGAACAATCCCCCAAGTAAAATTGGTCACTTCCTACATGGCTGTTTGAGGGAGATTGCTGTGTCTAAAGTGGCTGCTGCGTTCGCCTTAAACACAGTCTTTGTTTCAAATGCAAGGATTATTATTATTTGTGTAAATCTTTGCAGTAAAATCCTGTGAAGGAAACACTTTGAAACATCTCGATCATGTGACTTGGCAATATACCAAATGCAAGGATGATTATTAGGAAATGTCACTAATTTCTGGTGGAATATTCTGTTCAATTATTGAGTGTTGTCGAACTCCTTTCCAATTAGAATCATCCCTGATGTTTCGACACTGAAGATAAAAAGGGAAAAGAGCTCAAAGCAAGATATAAGTTTCATGAAAAAGGTAATTAGAACTTGATTATTCAATCTCATTTGGCTCATAATGGAAACCTAATTAAATGTTATAATAATCAGTTCATTTGTCAGATTTTGAATCCTCTTTGCTTTTAGAAAAAGGAAGATATTGTATGCCACTCTTTACCTATTTTTATAAGTGCTATACCATGGGAGTAATCTTAAATCCTCTCAAAATTATTACCATGTATCATTCACTTCCTTTCCTCACGTGTTCATTGAAGACTTAAGAAATTCCTGTAAGTTAACAATTATTTTTCGCTTCTCATAATTGCACGTTTAAATGGATTTAAAATTCATGAGCTGATCTCACTAATCATGCAAAATTTAGGTTTGCACTTATTATTATGCCTTAATTTAACACATTTTTATCACAATAACAATGACAAAGGGAGATTGACTTAACAAAAATTGAGATTCACTTGAACTGTAAGGTGTACTTCAGTAGTGGCCAAAATTGTCATATTGTTACATGGGAACATTGAGCAATAAAAGGACAGAAAATTGTCAAAGGAATATCTCAACATGAAAAGACTCGGTCACTGACTTTTGCAGGTGGGAGTTCAAGTACTGTTTCAAACCGCACAATACTTCTGAGCCACACAGACAAGGAATATGCAAGATATGGCTCTGGTTGGAATGTGGGCATTAAGTAAGGATAGAATTGAGTTGGGTTTAGCATTACTTGTTTCAGTTCACACATGAAAACAGCGTATTGGTGTGAGAGAGAGAGAATTAGAAACAACTGCATGATTCTGAGGCTGGCTTCAAGGATGGCTGAGCACAGTTAAATGGGAAACAAAGCCACATCACTTAAATTGTACGCACTGGGTTGGTAAGAAACCTGAAAAAATAATAAAAGGTATGGGAAAGGAACGGGGGAATGGAATTAAAAAAGAAGTCTGCAATGAAGAACATGAAAAAACTGAAATAACTAACGATGTATTCAACTTTAAACATCATTGCATTCTTTCTCCCCAAAATAATGCAAATAATGTATCAAGCTAGTTTCGCCCAAAAGAAGCTGAAAACCAAAGCTAAACTTATTTTGAAATTAAAAGATGCTACTCATTTCAGTGCTATGACTAATCGTGGTTCTTAAAAGACTACTGCCATGGCTCCTATTTTACCTGTCCATGTTAATGGATGTCGTCGTTGTCAAGAAGAAAAAGTATTGTTTTTGTCCTCAGCCAAAACTGTAAAGCTGTTTCCCTACAGCTGAGGGTGTTCCATTTGATTGAAACAATAGTGAATGAGAATAACACTGATAATCCTTCATGGATCACTTCTGACTGGTACATTGGAAACTTACCTTAAGGTCAGCACTATTATGGTCAACTCACTAATGTAGTCTGTTTTTTGTAGTCTTTTTCGTTGTCTTTTGTTATTAAAACATTAAATGTAAACTGACTAGAAGTTAACTCATTAATGCATCAAAATTTCTTAGACTGTTAGTTGACCTTATCATTGAGTTTCCTCTGAGCTTTCATCTAACCCAGTTGTTGTGTTGTTCAGCAAAAACTCAAATATAATGGTCACCGTCATTTGTTTATCAAGGGTTGTTAGGTTTGCTTGCATTAGGTTTTCAGAAACTTCAAACTTGGGTATTAGCATCCTAGTACAATTTCTCTAAATCTTCAAGGTTAAATCTGTGAAATATCTATCCTGTTCTTGGTTTAGATGTTTATTTTTTAAAATACCAAATAAGCAAAAATTATATTTGGGAACAAATGTTATCGCTAGGCTTAGTGTTTTAAATGTGTGAATATGTGATACTGTTTTATGCCACATATCAACTGAAGATTTCTCAAGCTCTTATTTGAAATTAGTTACAGAGCTAAATGTTGCCTAGAAGAGTTGTTGTACTATAAAGACTAGTTTCTGATCAGGACTTGTGTGACTTGGTTATGGTAGCAAATTGATTTATAATTTGATTTCTTCCAGATATACAACTGACATTGATGAGGTTGCTTGTGGCTTTAACTAAACCACAAGAAAAGTTATTGTTTGGACCTGCTCACTTGTAATGGTTCTATAAAACTGAATGCATTTAATCTGTAGTAATAAGTACATTTCCTGGAGATCTTTCATTTATCTTCATCTGTACTGTTTCCTTTGGTTATCAGCAATGATTAAATCATGCTTTAGTACAGAAGACACAGTTTGCTTGTGGCTCCAGTAGTAGATCACAGCTTAACTGCTGGATTGCCTAAAATAATGAGAAATTGTCGAGTTTGGATAATGAATGTGAAATCCCAGATTCTGGCTGTCCAAAAATAATAAGTAGTACAGTCTGTAGGAAGTAGACTATTTCCTCCATATTTGCACTTTTGTTCGGTAACTCGTTATGAACAGAATCCATTGCTAGTTTCATATCGCCTTTCAGTATTTGAAGTTTTTTTTTCCCAAAAAAATACTGCATATTGTTATAAAAACAATTGGCACTTATCTGTTGTACGTAAGAATGATGGCATTGCACTGATGATAGTACCCAATTAGTAAAGTCAATGTGATATATCACTGATCAAATGCATTTTATATAATGTAAAAGTACTTTGCTATTGTTCTCCTTAAAACAACCTTGTTATGGCAGTCTTTTAATTAAATTCAAACAGGATCATATACTTGCTCATTTCATGTCATGTAGAGATGTTAAGAACTTCATTCCATACCCCATGTTTTTCTCCCCTGGAGCCTCCTGACCCCATCATTAGATCTCCAGTCATTAATATCAGCCTCAGCTGTGGTTCGGTACTTTGGACTGTCTGAGTTCCATTGTCTATCAGTTCTTTGCACTTTTGGCCCACTTGTATGTCAGGCTGACTCCGGTGGTAGTACTCTCGCCTCTGAGTCAGAAGGTAATGGGTTCAAGCCCCATGTCTTGTTTTAGAACTCGTAGCGACTAAGCTGACACTCACTCCAATGCAGTGCTGGAGGCGTGCTGCAAAGTTGGAGGTGCCGTTCTTCAGATAAGATGTTAAACCGAGGTCCTGTTTGCTTTTCAGGTGGACATTGAAGATCGTATGACACTAGTTAAAAAGAGTTTCTCCCAGTATCCTAGTCAACAATTCACCAAATAAAATTGGTCATTCGTTTCATGGCTGTTTGAGGTATATTGTTTATGCAAATTGGCTGCAACATTTGCCCACAAAATACAGTCTCTCCACTTTACAGTACGTCCTGTAAAGTGCTTTGAGATATTCCTCCAGACATTCTTCCAATCCACAGGTATTTAAAGTGCAAGATTGATATCCCCTAAACAGATCTTGTCTCATCTGCTACATCTATTTTTAATGGGAAATACACGATGGGCTTGATCCTGTACCAGATTTCTGAGTTTAAGAAAAAACTGAGTTGATTAGTTACAATTGCTTGGCAATCCAGACTGTGTAATGTAGAAAGTAATTTTCTGTGTAATTAATCCTATTGTTGTGCAATAAAATAATTAACCATTATTACGGTACTTTCACATTGAATTTCTCTTGCCAATGAAAATGCATCATTAATAGTATTCTAATCATTTTGACCTTGAGCTTTATTTATCCATTGCATTTGTTTTCCAGCAAGGACAGCAATTGTATCGATACATTTACCTGGGCTGTAAAGAAGAAGATAATGACCTCAAAAACTTTGACTCTCTGTTTATTGCTCTTGCACTAATCACCATTGAACTGGCCAATGACGAAGTGATCATAGACTTGGTTCGCCTTGCTCTTGCCATGCAGGTAACCTGGTGTGCAGAATGTTTTCAATTTGTTGTTGATACAGTGCTTCTTTGAATTATACTGTGCTCTTTCACTGATATTAACCTACTATTGGTAGAATCACATGTATAACAGAAAATATCTATTTTATCTTGTAACATTTTTCTCCTTTTGTTCTGTGAATTTGTAAAGTAGTTCTGAAGTACCTAATTTCTAATAATTTCTCTATTTTATAATAGGACGTGGCGGTTAGCAATGAAGATAACTTACCCATGTATAACCGTTGTGCCATCCTGGCCTTGGTGGCTGGATACTTAAACTTTCTGAGTCAGATGATTGCCATACCAGCATTTTGTCAACATGTAAATAAGGTTAGTAACTGGAATGTAACAGAATTAGGAATGCCTCCTTCACTAACATGAATGCACGGTATAAATGCAATTTGTTGTCATTGTATTTAATGATGACTTCGAAGGAATAAAGCAACATGTCCTCGGCAAGATAGATGTTTGTGTTTAATGCCACATTGGCCAGCTTAACTCAGTGATCTTTGGTTGTCCACGATATGTCAAGTTGTTTATATATCTGATAAGGTGCTGATTGACTTAATACAATTGGTACCCATAACCCGGGTTTCTCCCCGCGTCCTGGCCAACAATCCCCCAAATAAAATTGTTAATTTGTTTCATGGCTGTTTGTGAGACGTTGCTGTGTGCAATTGTGCTGCTACAAATACAGTCATTCCATTCCACAGTATATCCTGTGAAGGACTTTATGATGTCCTTCCAACATAAGACACTACCAAATGCAAGAAATATTATTTTTATTATCCTGGGGTAATTCTCTTGTTTAAATGGACAACTTGCTTAATAAATTTCAATAACATGAAAAGCTTTCAGATACATTAGGTGGTTCTTGTTTTTTCAGGTGATTGAAATGAGAAATAATGAAGCACCCTATCTTCTGCCAGAAAATATTTCAAAAGAGAAGTCTGTGTAAGTAGAAGATTTTATGACTTGAGTTTTGGAAATAAATTAATTGTGTAATTTTAAAACTCGGTCATTAACTTTGAATAATGCCGGAAATACATCAGAGATAACCAGAAGTACATCATAGGTGACTCACCAGAGCCCTGCAGTCTCCTAACCTTTTCATTTCTTTTGTGATCATTACGAAGCTCTTGACAATGACCTGACAGTCAGTGAAAATAAATAACTTGCCAAATGAACAATATATCAGATTGGAGGGGGAGAGGGAAAAATTAAAATGTATGTTGTTTCTTTCTCAGAAAGTTCCTAATACACTGCTCCTGTTATCCAGGCTATAAAATTCCACAGAAACTTTTTTTTTCACAACTATTGTTTTTGCTATTTTTACTTGCATATTAAGTCTCCAGTACATTTTGTTGGAAAGCATGTGTTTCTCACATTAATTTCACAAAGTTATAAGGAGTAGGGAATGGACTTGGAATTTTCCCTGATACAATGAAATTATGTGGAATTATGGAAAACATCTCTGCAGTGTAATTCACTTATTGCTATACAAATGTAATATTGTTGCTGTTGTTGCATTGAGCTGTTTTAAAAAAAATCTTATTAGAGCTGTTTCATTCTGCATAACAATCATATTAGTTATATCTAGGGCAAGTTGTGTTGTATTTTATTCTTTTTTTTAAAAAAAGGGTTTTGTGCTGGAGTGAATAGTGCTGTTTCTAAGCATGATGCAATAAAGGTGGGGGTGGAAACAGCAATAATCACAGTCCTCATTTTTGTAGAATCCAAGTTTGGATGTGGTGGTCATTGCATTGCAGTATTAATTCATCCAAGTCCATCTTCACACTGTGTCTATCAATCGCATTCAACATGTCAATGATCTTGAGCATCCTCCAGTAAAATTTATGAGAAAAACCTATTTAGTAAACTGGTAATGCTAATGTAAAACATGTTAGAGATCCTGTAATGAAAGGGCTCCTCACACTGTAGTACAAGAGTCAAAGGTTTAATAACCAGAGACAATACATATAACCGGGGACCTTTCGGATTCAAAGATGGCGATCCAATCCTTCCTCCGGGAGAGAATGGCGACCGCTTTTGTGCACGATGTTGATCTGCCCTCCTTCTCCTTTGCCTCGGTGTCTCCTGAATCTCTTAAACAGACGGTTCTTTTCTATTTTGTCTCTCTGAGTCTCTTGCACAGACAGTCTAGGAGGAGGTTTTCTATCTCCAACCCAGTATAAAATGGCGGTTGTCTCTCTCCTTCACACAACACACCCTTCTCCTGCTATATGGCCGCTTGACTCGCTATTGCTACGTCTGCGTCATCCCCTCACCAGGTGGCATTAGTTCAGTTCACGCTGGTTCTTTCTTTGCAACGAAGTCTCTCTCACAGAAACTAGCCCATCCGAGATGAGGTGTCTCAGCCGCACTCTTTCATCAGCCTACAGTCCTTCCTTAGCTGCTGTTTGGCTGATGTACCATTGCCTACAGGATCTACTAAATGATAATCTTCAGAACTATTGCATGAACTTTAAAACATTAACAATGTCCTCAAAGCCATTACAGGGGGTGTCATATATCTGTTGGTGAACCTTAATTCTGTGTTTTTAGTATTGATCATTTGCCACACATACTTGTCAAAGTCCAAATGTCCATTAAACCATCAGTTTACTGACGATTAATTTTCTTTATTCAGCAGTTTTCATCACTTCGGTCACCATTCTCAAACCCAGAGGATGTTTTTTCACACCGCTTTGAATCCTGTAATATACACTTCACTTTCATTAACTATTGGTAATGACATTGTAAAAGTAATATAAAACAAATCAGAATATTTACATTTTATCAGTACACTTAGGAAATCTTGGTTTAAGATAACATATCCCAAACTAGCTGTACCCGTTGCAGCTTCGCTTGCAACCAAAGATCCAATATGGAATGTAAATTGACAACAGACATTTTGTCTTTATCTATACTCAGCTGGGAGGACACCTGTGAGAGGATTCCTTTTGGGAGGACTCCTTTATATATTTAATGTGAGTCTCTCTCTTTCCCAGTCTCCCTTTCACAGTCTCTCTCGCTCTTGTCTCTTTCACGATCTCAGTCTCTCTCCCAGTTTCTCTCACTATCTCAGTCTCTTCTCTCTCAATGTCTCTCTGTCTCTTCTCTTGCCCAATCTCTCTCTCTCTCTCTCAGTCTCCCTCTCACAGTCTCTCTCTGTCTATCCCACAAAACACAGTCACTACACATTATAATATATTCGCTCTCACAGTCTCTGGATAGACAGGATTACACAATAGATTTTTTTTTCTTTGGAAATCCTCCCAAAAATATGCCCATGGCAATGCCAGGTGTAAGACCTTTCCGATAAGGTATAAATCATGTCTCTTCGTCAATCAGAGATTGTCAGATACACTGACACAGACAGACGTTGCTGTTTTATTAGTATATATTATGAATGGTTGTGGGTTTTGTTATATCATCCTCACATTCTATCTTTATAAATCTTGATCACTTACTATATCCGGGACTCTTTCTAACTTAGTGTCTTCCCGTGTTCTTTACAAAATTTGCATAACTTATGCTCCATAAGCGTTACACATCATGGTTAAAGCTATATTATCATTTTCCCATCTTCCTCAGAATCTTAACATAGCTGGCTGGATTACACAAGATGCCTATACCAACATATCGGTTTACCTGCAATCTCAAATGTTACATCTATCTTAACTGCCCTAATCCTCTCTAGTGAACCATATCCCCATTCATGTTCTGTTTTGTTCCCAAATCTTTTCATTTTAACTGCTATCACCTGTTCAGTTGTGTTTTTTTCTCCTTTTTTAACATTTGGCTATCATGATTGTCCCAATGCTCGCACCTCACCGCCGTCACGCATACTGAATATGTTGCCAATGACCGTGTGGAGGTCCTTTTGTGGTTATTGGCTGCTGTTGTGGAATAGACAGCTGACTGGGTTGATCTTGCCCGCTAGTCTCACCCTAGACTGTCGAGCTAAAATGGGTGGGAGGGTTGGGGAGAAAAGGGTAAGTTGTCCCAGAAGAAGACACTGGACAGGAGGTGATGAGGGAGATCATCATTAGGCACAGAAGGGACCACCACAGACACCATGGGTTGTGACCAACCATTTTTCTTGGTAACTGTGGGGACTGAGTCACAAGGTGAAGGCTCCTGTGCTTTAAACAGTTTCAGGTGTTTAATGTGATACCAGTAGTCTGTGATTGCCACGTGAGGTGGGAATAGAAATTTGATAAACTGCAGGACTGGCTCGCTTAAAAATGTAAAAGAGGTCAATATATTTAGCACCAAATTAGCAGTTGCAGTAGTATTGCGCACTGGAAAGGCTTCCATCCATTGGAAAATACATCAATAACTACGAAAATATATTGATTTCCCCGTGCTGTACCAGGACCAATGTAATCAATTTAGAGATCCACCTAGGGACCCATAATTGGTCTGGTATGCCACAAAAGAGCCTTTTCTTTTGGGATCTGGATTGTGCTGAGCACAAATAAGACAATTGTAATAATTCTGTATATTGTGTGCCATTTTTGGCCACCATCCCAAATTTTTAACACATTTCAAGCTGTTGTCTTATGCTAGGTGTCCTCCAGTGGGTAAGTCATGAATCATATAAATGATGTCATTATAAATGGGCCATCAATATAAAATAGTCACAAATAGATCAAATAGGGAAGTTAGAAGAAATTTCTTCATACAGAGAGTAGTGGGAATGTGGAACATGCTACCACAAGGAGTTGTTGAGGCAAATAGCATAGATGTATTTGAGGGAAAGCTAGATAGGTACATGAGAGAGAAAGGAATAGAAGGTTATGCTTGAAGGCTTAGTTGAAGAAGAACAGGAGGGGGCTCATGTGGAGCATAAACACTGGCGTAGACCAGTTGGACCGAATGGCTTGTTTCTGTGCTGTGTATTCTAATGTATTACGAAGTTGTTGGGGGACAACGCACAAGAGATTACCTCCTGTATTAGTATAAAAGAGAATGCCTTGTTTAATGCTAAGGGTAGTGCGAGATTGGGAGAATTGGTTAGGAAGAGATGGATTAGATTTGAGACCTGTAATGCAAGACAAAATTAGTGGATCGCTCTGTTGAGCTGCTGTTACATTTAGAACAGATTCTTCAGGATTTGTCTGCTGATGGAAGCCATGGGACTTGCTGTTGTCGGAGAATGCCTTTCCTGATCAGATTTAGCCTCACTCGTAGAAAGTTCATCCACTCCAGCTGCAAATGGACCTATCTTACTATGGAGTCATGTAGCTCAGTGATTAGAGCACTCACCTCGCAAGTGAGATACCTGGGTTCGATTCCCACCAGGGCGAAACCTTGGGCAAGTTTCCTTACTCCACACGCCACATCCCTCAAGAAAAGAAAATATAATAAATTGGTCATTTCAATCCACGACTGTTTGTGGGACACTGCTGTGCACAATTGGCTGCCGCATTTCACCCACAAATATACACTCAATTCACTTTACAGTATATTCTGTGAAGCACTTTGAGACGTGTAGAATACATGAAAAGCTCAATATCAAATGCAAGGATTATTTTTTATTATTATTACTATGGGCTTCTACTTTATTTAAATTGCCCCTTAAAAGCTTCAGCTACTTCCAGTATATGCTGTAATTGTGATGCAGATGCCAATGGCTTACCAACCGCAGACGTAAATCCTCGAGTTTGCCAAATGGGTAAGTATTCTGTTAATGAATTACAAACATATGATGAGTCAGAGTAAATGGTTAATGTTAGTCCAAAATCTTTAACATGATCTACTACATATGTCACAGCAGCCAGTTCTGCTGCCTATGCTGAAGCAGAGGACATTTTAAATCCCAAATCCACTTGTTTTTGTGGGCAGAAGATTCTGAAGCCTGCGTATCGTTTTCCATCTTTAACATAACTAGAGCCATCTATATAAATGGAAGCAAAATTTTCTTTCTTCACCCCCAAAGAGACCAA